GGAGCGTTTCCGATAACAACGAAACCGACAAGAACTACTGAATTAATGACTTCATTAATTGACAATATAATAACGAACAATATTTTTAATTATTCTCTTAAAAAAGTTAAATGCGATATCACAGATCATTTTAGATACTTTTAAACCTTTTGAAATTCTTGTAAAGAAAAATTGTAATGAATGATTTTCCTTGATATGATTTGTAACTCGATTATTAACGATCTTCAAGCCTATATTGCTATTATACTATCTGCCCAATTATCTTTAAGACATTTTTTGTGAACTTTTTATCTTTTTGTAGTTTTTTAATTTAAATTTTGTTGTTCTTTTATTATTGCCTACACTTTTTTATTTACTACGTAAAATATTTAAATTTAAAAATGTCACAACGTCTTTTTTCCGCGTACCGAAAGACAAGACCTTACGGTCTTCTACGAGTTTCCGGGTTATTTTTATATATATATATATATATATATATATATATATATATATATATATATATATATATATATATATATATATATATATATACATATATATATATATATATATATATATATATATATATATATATATATATATATATATATATATATATATATATATATATATATATATATATATATATATATATATATATATATATATATATATATATATATATATATATATATATATATATATATATATATATATATATTAAATATCTTCACTTGTAATTGTTCATATTTTTTTTATTTTAGCTTGTAAGTTTTATAAAATAATAACGTTATGTTGTAAAATATAATAAAGAACAAAAAAAAAACAAAAAAAAAAACTACCTCGGTACTCAAAAACGGTGGTTTACCAACTTGAATGCTTATGTGTAAATGTATATATATTTAATGAATGCTTATGTGGAAATTTATTTATATTATAAATTTATATATATTGGTGAGAACAAAAAGAACAAAAAATCATTTCAAGAATTGCAAAACACCAAAGAACTTGTAAAAATTAAAAATAGTCGAGTTCAGGAGCCACGGAACATTATAGAAAATGTTGTGGTAACTTTGATTGGCTAAATCCTAAGACCTCAGCAGTCGTTTTACAATACAGAATAAGAAAAATTAGAGAATTCCTGGTGATCAACAAAGAAATAATTTGATATGAGATTGGTACTGGGCAAAGTGTTTTAAATCAAGATGACGGGGAGAAGGTTAAAATAAGAACTTAGGGATCCATTACTGCAAAAAAAATTACTGATGTCATTATTATACTATTTAATTTGTTTTTATATTTGACGTTTTTTAATGTATTATTTTTAATTCTTATTTTCAAGTTGGTAAACCAACGTTTTTGAGTACAGAGGTATTTTTTTTTTTTTTTTTTTTTTTTTTTTAATGCGGTAGTGGTGTAGTGGTAAAACACTCGCTTCTTAAGCGAGAGGTTCCGAGTTCGATCCCCACCACATACCTGGTAGTACCGCGCTCAACTTGTTTCTCCGCGCAGCGGCCTTGTTCGCCAAGGTTCGTGTTTCGGAGTTATAGAGTTGAGAGAGGGTTACAACCACTGTTAAGGAGCCTCTTCGTCTGTAGTGGCCTTCTCGGCCTTGAGGAGGTAAATAAAAAGAAAAAAAAAAATTGGTTTGTTTTATGTTATTTTGTAACGTTTTGTTATTACCTGATGAGGCTGACCACAATAGGTCAGGGAAAAATCGTTAATGTACTATTATATCAAATATATTTGAAAATAGTTATACGCTCCCTTTTTAATGAAATCAACTTACACATTATAAACATATCGTATAACAAGAAAATGACTTTTATAGAATTTATAATATGCTGATGGTTTCATTTCTGAAATTTTTTTTCATTCAATTATATCTGTATTTCGGAAATTATTTTTACTCATAATAATTCTTATATTTTTTAGAATTGTTTTTTTTTTAAATAATTTCAAAGTATTTTTGTATAACCTTCATGAAAAAATTAGCATATTCAAAATTTAAAAACAATGTATTTTTAATAGTTTTGATAAGTAAAACTTGTTACAAAAATATCAAAAATAATAGTTTTTTTTTCACCCTTTTCCTAATGTTGTGCTTTTAATTTATTTTAAATAAATTAATTTATTGATGTTTATAGAAGTTTTATTGATTTAACCTTAAGAAAATAATTCAATCAATCAATCAATCATTTATTTCTGAATTAAGGTTTTACATTCAAGGATGTTTATATACTAATATATTTAAATATACTAATATAAAGTAAACACTTACTAATGTTAATAATACCTATTTAAAATAAATACAATACTAATTTTCACAATATATAATAACGATAGTAAACTTTATAAAATTAAATAACAATGTAATATAAATAACGATGTTATAACATTAATAATAATAATAATAATAATAATAATAATAATAATAATAATAATAATAATAATAATTAATAATAATAGTAATAATAATAATAATAATAATAATAATAATAATAATAATAATAATAATAATAATAATAATAATAATAAGGATAATAATAATAATAATAATAGCAATAAAATTAATAACAATAATAACAACAATATTAGTAAAAGTAATAATAAAAGTTAAAAGTTTTAGTGCTTTGATATTTTACGGATTTATGTCTGTAATTATGAGAGCGGTGTTTAGAGACAGACAGGTTTAAATTACTATCGGAACGAAGGTGATAACAATTGTTGGCACTTTTGGAAAAAAAATTAATGAAAAACAAAGGTAGGTTATTGTGTTGGTGGTTCCAGACAAGTTTACAGTTTAAAAGTTGAATAAAATCAGATAGTTTTAATACTTTGAAGTTAGGTAAAGCATATTAGGATTAAATTTAATATTCTGAAAATGAATAATTTTTAAAGCCTTGTTTTGGAGGTGGGATAACCTAATAAGAGCTTGTTGATGGAACTGCCCCCATTCTTGGCATGCATACCTAAGATGTGAGCCAAAAATAGCATGGTATATGTTCAAAAGTGTCTCAAAATTAACATAATGGCGAATTTTGGCCAACATACCATTAGATCTACTTAGTTTCATTGCTAAGTCTTTAGCGTGGGAAAAAAAGGAAAGATTTGAATTTTATACCAAGATATTTAATTGAATTAACAGGTTCAATTTTTTTGCCACTTAATCTAAAGATCATATGTTTATAGATTCTAGTTTTATTTGATTTAAAGATAGTGAGTTCAGTTTTATTAGAGTTTAGAAAAAGTTTGTTGGAGCGAAACCACTAAACTAGATTGGCAAGATCATGGTTAATGTGTTTGTTAATTTTTTTAAGGGATTTATTAATTGTTATTAGATTATTTATTTGAGTTTAAGATTTAGTTAATCTATTGGCTTAATATTATATTAGGCTTAAACTTATCTAATTAATTTATAAATATATTCGGTGTTTTTATAGATTTATGAATTAAAATGTACAAAATTAATGAAAATAGAACATGTACGATAAATGTATGATAAGGCTCTAGTAATTTTTTTATTTTTGTTTTTTTGGTATTGGCAGGCTGAAAATGACAACTTTCCTGTAACGAGGTTGAAATAACCTTTAACTACAAGCTATTTTAGAATTTTTTTCCATAGCAGCATGTTTTAAAAAGATTTGCCTTTGAATTCTATTTACTAATTAAATTACTTATATTTTATAATTTCTTGAGATAATTTTTGAACAAAGTTTAATGCTGGTTTTTAACCAAATTTTGCATTAAAAAAAAAACTCATTTCGCCTGGAAATTTTTTAGTTTTTTTAAAATTAATTTTTATTCAGCAGTACAATTATAATTTAATTTTTATTTTTTCAATTCTTTTGAAAATATAAGTTTGATATTATGTTATTAATGTGAGAGTATAATCTCAAATTCTAATTAAAAAAGGTGTGGTAAGGTACCCATAAGCTTGTTTTCCTATAAATCTAATACACATTTAGCGCAAAATGTCTGTACCTGTACAAACAACTAACAAAAATCTTTTATTTGATTGCTTTATAACTATTTAATAGTTATTTTTACATGGTTTTTAATTACTGTCACTATGTGCTTGAAAACACTACGCAACTGGTAATTAGAAGACTTTAGGACAAAAATTAACGCTGTGAAACAACATCGTTCCGACGTCATTATTTCGATGTCGTTACGATGCCGTTTTAGGCGGGCAAACTTTGCTAATAAAATTTCAACAGTTATCCCGACAAGAAAATGTCGTCAGATTCCCATCGAGTTAGATCATAAAAAAGTAAATGTAAAAATCAAATGAGTTTTGTATATTTTAAAAAAAATTTTAAAAATGTAAAAGGAAGTTAGATTTAAAAATAAAAACATATATATATATATATATATATTAATATATATTAAATATTAAAATACACACACACACATATATATATATATATATATATATATATATATATATATATATATATATATATATATATATATATATATATATATATATATATATATATATATATATATAATAATAATAATAGAGTTTGATTATTTGAAAAAATACAACTTTTTGATGGTACTTGAAGTTTCATGCCCTTCGGCAATCATCAGCCATATTTTATTCCCTATAAAATATGGATAAATATGAATAAAATATGGCTGATGATTGCCGAAGGGCATGAAACTTCAAGTACCATCAAAAAGTTGTATTTTTTCAAATAATCAAACTCTATTATTATTATTATTGATCTATTTTGTAAACACTTACATTATATTGATCACTCTCAAACGAACAAGAGATTTTTGTATCTTAATTTGGTACAATAAAACAACAATATATATATATATATATATATATATATATATATATATATATATATATATATATATATATATATATATATATATATATATATATATATATATATATATATATATATATATATATATATATATATATATACATATATATATATTAATATATATATATAAAATAGATTTTAATATTTTTCACTCGTATTGTTTTATATTTTCAGAAAAAAGATAAATTAGTTTATTTTTCGATTGGAAGAAAAATGACATCAAAACCTCAAAGGTCCCTATGGTAAATAACCAGTTTATATTCAATGTCGGAGAAATATTTTTCAGGAAACAGACGTCTGTGTAAACTTTTTGTTCTGCTAACTATTTCTTGTTCAATCGTATATTTTTTTTCATTATTTATTATTTTATCAAAGATAATTTACAATAAATTTAATTATACCGTACCAATTTATCTGGAGCAGCATCTATTTCAACAGCAGAAATACCAATATCAACAGTTACAACAGCCACAACAAGTCAGTGAATTAAAAATTGTAATTCCGTTTCACATAAAACAACTGGACAAAGTGCTTGATAACATAAACAAATGGAAGATATTTCAACCGTGTGATATGATAAATTTTAACAACAAAAGCGTTGAGTTAATATTTTACGTTGGCTACACCAATGAGGAGCAAAGTTTTCTCAGAAACCTGAGTTCAATCATGTCAAAAAACATTGACTGTTTTGTCAATAAACATGAAGTTTTTTTCAAGTACAATAACAAAGATGAGGATCAGCACGTGAAAGGTGCTAGATTAATGTTTGAATCAATGCTTAACAGAAGTAATGAACATTTTAATCGTACATCTTTTGTGTTTTACATGGAACCGGATGTACGGCCAATTAAATCCAACTGGTTAAACGCTCTAATGAAGGAGATTGGCAATGGAAACTTTTGGATCAAAGGGTCTTGTTTCCGAGGTGACATAAACAAGTTCAAAAAAAATGATCCCTACATTCCTAACTATATGCACATAAATGGTAATGCTCTCTACAATCTTGGTAGCGATGATTTCAAGCATTTCTATTTTAGCATACTTCGTCCCTATGTGATTAAAAAAAATGGCGATAGCAAAAATGCATACGACACTGACTTTTTTGAGTTTTTTTTTGACAAAAATAACTACGAAATAACACGAAACGTTGTCCATCAGTTTCATATGTCTGATTTTGTTCAAAACTATTGGCAAACCGAATTTGAAGTAAAATTTTTAGAGAAAAAGTTTCCCAATACTTATTTTGTGCACGGCGGATTTCCGCGCTATTAAAAAGATTTTTTTTATTTTTCGTTTAAATGAAAGTACTTGAAAAGTACTATCGCTGTTCAATTATGTAGACGATATTTTAATTTTGTTTTTAATAAATTAGTTTTTTACGTCACTTTTGAAAACACATTTTATAATCAATCAACCTAACGTCATTTTTTAAGATTCACCTGCATCCAAGCAAACACTTTAATATAAATATAACCTAGAAGGTTTACGTCTTTTTTAGGTTGAATATTGGTATTTAATTGAAAGATAGAAACACGTACATGTGTGACAACTAAAATTCATTTATTTTCGACGTTGAAAAATTAACATAAATTGACACCTAAATGCTGTTAAATTTTGTTGTCAAATACTTGAGAATATTTAATAAAAAGTAACGTAAAATTATACGCATTATGGATGTTAAACATTGACCTGTTTGCTAGAGTTTAACGTTGCCTACTTGTTAAAAGTTTAAGTGAAAACAATAATGAAGTTTATCTGAGTGGAAATTTAAATTTCCAAATTTATATTTATTAAAGTAAAAGTTTAATAAAAAATAACCTTTCACCAGAATTATGCTGGTAGGTCTCCATACGAAATCTCTAACTACCCAATTTCTTGATATGAGTCGCTTTTCAATGCTTCCCTCTAATTAAGCTTTCAACTACTACTTTTTGCAATTCTAGAAAAAAACTTAAAATTTAAATTACCAAAAAATAAATATTGTAAACTATAAACCATTTAGAAAGTTATTATAAGTTAAAAAAGTTTCGTATATTTTTGAATATATTACTCAGTAATATAGCGCGAAACGTTTTTGATTTTGATTTTTTATTTAACGTTACATTTTATTTAACTTTATTTTATTTTAACGCAACGTTTTGTTTAACGTTTTTTTAAAGAGTTACTTTGTTTTGTATTTTAATTATTGACATTTTGATTTAAAGCGACTTGAAATAATATTAAACTTGTCTTCGTTTTTTTCTTTTTTTGTTCGTTCCTTGAATATTTAAAACAGTTTATACAATAAGATAGTTAAGATAAAAATCATTATACATTAAAAGAAAATATTCACAAAGTAAAGAACGCAGAGACTCGCAGAAGACCTTCAGGTCTTATCATCGAGAACCGCTCGTGATATTGAGTACATTGAACTAACATGAAGTATAAAATCAAAAAAGCAAAACAAAATGTCGTAGTAAAAATTAGTAATAACTAGCAAGAACGTAAATTTCGCAATAATATATAAATAAAATTGGAACAAAAAATTTTTTGATACTCCTATATATAAATACAAAAATATTTTAAAAAGTACTGTTTTCATAATCACAAAAGTTGTGGATCAGATATAAAATTTACATATTACCTTATTTAATAAACTTCATATTAATTTTAAGAAGAATTTAAAAATATAAAAACATGTCTTCAAAAGTTAAAACAACTTCTTTTATTTTTTTTTTGAATGACAGATAATTCGATTTATGGAAAAAGTCAAAATTTTTTAAAACTATTTTGTTTCAAAAAAAAGCTCTTCGATATGAAATACGTGACTTTCCAAAATTAGTTAAAGATAAAGGTTGCCGAATTAGATTATCAATTCTTAAGTTATATTTATTTTTATCTTTAAAGGTATATAAATTATGAAAAGAAACTGGAGATTCCTTAGTTTTACACTTGAACATAAAACAAAGTATAAGAAAAATATTTAGCTAACAAATATTAGGAACTTTCATTTAAAATAATAATAATTTGGCATGAGCAAATTGACCTTTTTAGTTGATATACAGCATAAAATTTGCTCGTCTTTAAAAGACAGGCAAAATGCTTATGCGGACAATAAGGTAGTAGCAGTTTAGATATATTGGTATTTCTCCAAGCGATACATTAAAGAGAAATATAATTGTTTTAAACTGTGTTTATTCTAGCTTTGTACATTACTCCTATATTTCGAGCAAATTTGATGCACAACAATTTAATGCGATACTTCAAACTATGGTTTTCATCAATATTTATTATCTTTTTTTTGAAGTTTGATGAAAAAGTATCCATTTAGTTTTCTCAACATTTAGTGACAGTTTATTCATTTTAAACCAGTCAGAAACTTTTGTTAATTCAATGTTCATATTTTGGAATAACGTTGTTATGTTGTTATGAGATAAAAAAAGATTTGTATTGTCGGCAAACATGAACAAATCATGAAATTTGAGGCTTTAGGGAGATCATTAATATAAATTAAAAAGAGAAGAGGTACTAGTATAAAACCTTGAGGGACTCCACATGTTATATCTTATAAATTGGAAGAGACAGTTGTATTACTGTAAACAAACTGTTTACGATTGCTTAAATAACTTTTAAGAATCATTAAAATATTTCCTCTCATTTCATAATACTCTATTTTTCTAAATAGGAATTTGTGGTCCATTATATTAAAAGTTTTCAATAAATCTATAAAAATACCTAATGTATATTGAGATTTTTCAAAAGATTCATCAATATTGCATGTATTTGGGAGAGTAGCGTGTTCGGTTGAATTACTTTTTTTAAATCCGTATTGATTTTGATATAGTATATTATTTGAAGATAAATTATTGAAAATTACATTATATAAAAGTGTCTCTAAAGTTTTAGAAAAAACAGGCAAAATTGAAATTGCGCAATAATATAAAACATTGGTTGCATCGGGTCGGGTAAAATACCCTGTTTTATTAAACATTTTAAAATTTGAAATTGAATATATTTAATGACTTCGTACGAGTCGATAACAACATCGCAATAAATATCAATATGACCAACTGAATTATTAGATTTAAGCTTTTTAAAAGAAAGTTCAAATTCCTCAAAGGATAACTCAAAGGAGTTTAAGAACAAAGTTATTGGAAAAGCAAAATTATTTATTTTGTTTTTCAAGACAGGAATTTGTTTGCCAGATTAGGACCAACTGATGCAAAGTATTTATTTAAGTTGTCAGCTATTGCATTTTGATCATATGATGTTTCCTCATTAATTTTAACAATTTTAGGCAATGCTCTCGTTTTTAATTTCTGTATGCCAGTGAGTTCTCTAAGAATTTCCCACGTACGTTTTAAATTAAGATTATATCTCTCAAGCAAATTAGAAAAGTAATTTTTTTTTTTGTCTTTCAAACTCTTTAGCGTGGTTTTTACAGAGAACTTTATTTTGAATAGTTTTTGTCTTTAAATATTTAAAGTATAATTTTTGTTTAATTTTAGAGAATTTTCTTAGGCTCTATGTGATCCATTGTGACATTAAACTTTTAGTTTTTTTATTTACTGTTTGTTTTGAAAAATTAGCATCGTATATTTCATTAAACGTTTTAAAAAACGTATTATAAACTAAATTAGCGTTAGCACAGGTATTTATTTGTGTCCAACGATGATAAGATAATTGTTCTTTAAATGTTTTTAAAATAGCATTAGAAAAAAAAAAGGTTTTTTAAAAGTTTGTTTTTGTTGAGATATTATACTTGTGTCGATATTAATAGAGAAAAATGTACGGAAGTGGTCCAAGACGTCATTTTTAATCATGCCTTTTTGAAGAGATTTATTGAAAGCATCAGTTGTTATAATTCTGACAATTAAGGTTTTTGACGAATGAGTTATTCTTCTTGCTCCAGTTACGTTTTTGACGTAGAAGTTATACTTCTTGCCCCAGCAATGTATTTATATATTTATATAACATAAACTTGTAAACTTTTCTTATCGGTAAAATACATAATAATAATAAAATAAAAAAAAAATCGCATTAGGAGCAGAGCATAACCTCTTTTGAAAGAGAATGGCACACACTTTATTGAGAAATTTGAATTTTCTTTAAAAATGCTGAAATCTAAAAAATCAGTTGCTCATGATGATATTAAATGCAATGTTATTATCGACTCGTACAAAGTCATCAAAGATATTTTATTTTAAGTCTTACAATGTTCAATAAAAAAAGAATATTTTATCCGACAATTTAAAAATAGCCAGAGTTTCACCCATATTTTACGGGGGTAATGCAATCAATGTTTTAAATTATCGCAAAATCTCAATTTTGCCTTTTTTTTCTATAACTTTAGAGAGAACTTTGTATAATGTAATTATGAATAAATTGTCTATAAATGATATACTGTATTAAAGTTAAAACGGATTTAAAAAAATAATCAACAAAACACGCTTTACTCTAAATTACCCGCAATAATGCTGAATCTTTTGAAAAATTTCAATTCAAAGTTTTCATTGATTTATCAAGTGAACATAAATAATACAATAAAAGAGCAAGAAGCAACTTCTAGATACCGTTTGAAACAACTCTCAAAATTCTCAATTACATATCGTGGTACCTATATATTTATCAAATTAGTATCAAGAAACGATTCGCTGTTAAACTTAACCAGCGAATACTCTCTTCAAATAAAGCTAAAATTTACAATAATCAAATTAAACAGCTATAAAATTTTTTTAAAGTAAGTAAAAAAATAAATAAATATGACTTTTAATACAAATTGATAAAAAAAAAAATATATATTAATATTGTAACACATACATATATACCACGTAAACAACTGATTTTTTGTATATTACCCGTCTATAAAAAAGTATTCGATGACTTAAGTCTTTCTCGAGCTTCCTATAACTACTAACAAATAGTTCATTTTATCAATCTTACAAAGATTTTTTTTTATCATATTTATATACAAACAATATTTTGAAATGTGGTAAAAAAAATATATTGTAACATTTAAACACTCCTTGGGAAATTAGCAGATTTGTTTTTATTTATTGTATTTTTTATTTGGATTAGTATAGAGATATATTTGTCGGATTATTTTTACGATTACGTTATTATATTGTTGTAATAGGTGTTTATTTTAATCAGTTCTTGGAGTGGTTTGCAACTATATTTTCATTTACTTCGAATATTTCGAATTTTAAGTTCATTATATTTATATTTGTATATCTTTACCGCCATTTTGTGATGGGCTATTTGTAAATACTTATCGTTGTAAAATAAAAATGTATAAAAAATAAAATGCTTTTATATCATGCTTTTATTTTATATTATATTACCTCAAAACCCTTTTTAAAAAAATTAGAGCATTAAGGAATTTAAGGATATATTCTAA